GAAGTAAGAAAAGCAATAATCGGCTTAAAAAGAGCGTGGAAAGTCTTCAGAATCTCACGCTTTCAGTTTTTAAGTTTCGTATAAACACTTGCTGTTCCTTGGTGTTCTGAGAGATGACCATTTTCCTCTATTGTGATATTTTTCTGACCTTCGTGGTTTTGGTTTCATCTCCATGTCCTCAAAATTTTACCCGCTTAGGCTTCCTGGTTATCCATTTCCGGATGATGGACGGCGCGCCTTCCTCCATTGCTTCTCGGTACGCATTGGCACGAATGCCACCGCCGTCATCGACTAGCAATCAGGACATATAATATTTCCTTGATCGTTTTTTGATGAAGCTGCAGACCTGTAGAACATTTCGAGTGGTTACAATAAACTTTCCCTACTATACGTCTCTCTACAAAATGAATGATCACACGCGCACAAAATGTAATGAGTACAATGTCAACGACTTGGAGAAGGGAAATGATGAATAATCACTTCTATTGTTAATCTGTTGCTTCATTGTACAAAATGTATGGTTTCTGTAGGATGTAGGGTCCGTCGTAATACAAAACGAAATCGATATGGCGACAATCAAAAACTGGGATAGTCCAAAAGTGTTCATCACTTTGTTGCTCGGCATACACATGGGTATGCCTGATATCTTGATTGATATGCTTTCTCTGCATTGCCTTAAAACAGTGATGCATGGCAATCTTGTTCATAATCTCGGCATTATTCCTCCTGATATTTATATCCTTGGTACAAATATTTTCCTGTCTAGATAGGGAAGTATAATTAGAGAGTTGTAGAGAAAGTATAATTATAACCACCCGGTACTAATTTACCATGCAGAATATCTAACGATAGGAACTGTTGGAGCGCAGTTTAGTGTTTATTTGACCTTCCATAGCACTGGTAGATCATGAAACTCACTATCTGGGATGAAATTATAGGTCAAGAGGAAACACACTCCACTTGCATGACCCAAACTCAGCTGTTGGAGATTTCGTGATCACTGTGAAGATTCTCTTCCAAGAAACACGTGTATAGTCCTTGCACAAATCAAAGTTCGTCATGTACTAACGCGAAAATATCTATGGAGCCTCCCAAAGAATTCATATCGCAAAGCTGATAACGTATAGCGAATCATTCGTGTTCTCGGCGACTAATCGGTCGGACAACTCATTGATATCTCTCTTTTTCAATGCAGATGATACCAATACTTTTTTTTCATTCATTTACATTGTAATACAATGAAAACATTCTCGACCAGAAGGAAAGAACCAGAAGGAAAAAGAAGTAAAGACCAAATAGATGACAGTACGAAATGAACAAAAAGAACGAAATGGACGAAATGGACGAAAAATATTAAATGACGAAATGAACAAAAGCACGGAAAGGATGAAATGGACGGAAAAGATAAAATGCACGAAAAGAAAAAATGGATGGGAAAGGGTTCATGGACGGAAAGGAGGAAATGGAAGGAAATGACGAAATGGACGGAAAGGGTGAAAATGAAACGTAAGAAAGAACCACAGAACGAAATGTACAAAATAACAGAAATGAAGAAATGGAAGAAAGGACAACAGGATGAAATGGACGGAAAGGTCGAATAGGATGACAGGTCGAAAAGAACGAAAGAAGCGAATGAATGAATTGGATATCAGGACCAAATGGATAAAAGGACGGAAATGAGAAAAAGGAAAAAAGGACGTGAGGACGAAATGGACAAAAAGGACGTTTTGGAAGAGGTTTTCCTTTTCGCCCTTTGATCTTTTCGTCCTTTTCACGCATTCGTTCTTTCGTCATTTTCGCGTATTCGTCCTTTTGGAAAGAAATTGGATTATTGCTTGAACAAAAACAATTGATATCAATTTATTATTCAACTTTTTAAAATAATAATTTAAATAAATATTTCTTAAATGCTTTAAAATATAACTTATAATGAATTAATCAACTTAGTAATATACGAAAGGCATATAATAAGTATGCAATGAAAGAGCACAGATAACCCTTAAGACCTTTCCTCGATTTATAGTTTGGTTCCGCTACTTCTCTGCTTCCCTTATTACGAGTATACGATAACTTCAGCATAAATAGATAACACTACTATCTTAAACGGATTGCCTTTGTTCGTGTCTATCAAAACCCCCAATTATACCCGTATATTATACGGCCCGTATGATACGGGCACCCGTATGATACAAGTACCCTTACGAATGTGGATGAGTTTGACCCGTTAGAATACCCGCATATACGAGTCCTGGGTACCCGCGTGACAAAAGACCCGTAATATTCCAAGAGCTCTATTCCACACATGTCGGAAGACCAGTCGGGAAATAGCTTGCCCCGCTGGTGGGAGGTACTGTTCGGGAAAAATGACACAACCCGAAGTGTAGGTCGGCGTCAGAACCCTCCATACAGCAGCAAAAGATCTCCGTCAACTTCAAAACATGCCCTACACTTACGGGACTAAGACCATAGCAGTTGATCCCGGAAACACTATTCAATCAACAAAAACATAGGTTGATTTCCTTGACATAATTTTATATGGAATCTAATAACAGAAGTTTTTTTAGTTGACGCTAACTATGAAAATCTAGTGACAGCAACCTTTCGAAATGTGACTTTGTGTAAAATGATTTGCCCTTTATTGGTACCCTTTGCTCTTCAAAAACATATTTTCAAATAACGTCATGCTAGTAATGACAATTTTTTGAAAATTTGAATAAGAGTACCCGTAATTTTGGATCAAATTTAAGCAATGGATGAACAATTATTTTCTCAAAAATAGTTTTAATTTTTTTTTTAATTTTCACCTCGTTTATATAAAAGTATTATAAAAAATTGGTGTTACTACCATTTCGGGCGAACTCAATTTTCGATAATTGCAAAAATTTGACCTTGTAAAACTACAAATTTGAAAATAGAGATTTTTGTCTAGATTGAAATTTGTGCTTAACTAATGGTTCTACAATATCGCCTCCATAACGGTTACGTAAAATTCTAATACGGCAATTTATGCAGCATATTAAGACATTTCAGCCATCACTTATAAAATTCATTACTTGACCAATAGTAAGGCATTATCTCCAAAAACGTAAGGTAATTCATCAACACATATTCGACAATCCAAAATAGCATCCCGATCACCCCGAAACACCTCCCAACAATAAGAAGTTATTTGGAGAATGTCAAACTGGTATGTCGTTTCGTTCCAACTGTCGCAATGCAAACTTACTCCTTACATATTCCAAAAAGAGAAGTGCTGGAAATTAGAATCTGCAATTTCGAAAATTTGCACAATTATGTTTATTTACTCATATTCTTTAAATATTGCAATGACCTTTTATAAAGAACTGATTTTGACTTTCTAGCAAACGCTTTCGCAGTGAAGAGTAATGCTGCGCGAAAAATCTATGAATTTTCGGCAAAAACTCTTACTGCAGGGCCCTGGTAACAAAAAAGGGGTTAAATCCAGTTGCTAAATTTAGAAAAAAATATCCTCTAACACGTGGTGGAGCCAGAATTCATGTTTTCTGGGTCCTTGGTACCTAATATCGATTGACGGCAAAACATCAGTCCATCCAGCCGTCTGCGAACAACTCTAGTAGCTAAACCGTTCAGCCGATTTTCTCCAAAATTGATATTCCTCAATAGATTTGAGTGTTGGCAGGGTCCCTTGAATTTGAAACCGATATTTTAATTTTGGGGGTACTTAACATGAAGCCCCTGGAACATTAAAAAAAGACGATTATTTTTGAGTAAACTTGTTGTTGGATAGTGAAAAGGCCGTTTAAGTGAACAACGCAGGACTCATGTTCGTTGAAAATAATGATTTTTCAAAATTGAAAAAATTCAAAATTTTTTCGGCATATTAATACAACTACAATTTTTAAGATACTTTTTTGTTTTAATGAAATGTCAGTTTCAAAAAGAGTTTTTCAAAAGAGGTAGAGTTCAATATTTCTAAAATATGAGTATTTTTGCGCAATACTAGATGAAAGACGGGCGATTTGAAAACCATTTTAAACAATTTTCTCAGAAACGGATTCAATTTTTTTTCTTTTTTATCTCCGTATACAGCAAATAACTGTAAAAATAGTGGTGTTGGTTCTGATGACTGTAAAGATAGTTGTAAACAAAATTCAATCCTCAGTTGTTTAATAGAAAACATCAGGCAAACATATTTTTATAGGAAGCTGCAATTCTTCATTATCCTTCCAGTACGCTCTTCGCTTTCATTCCCCACTTCAGCGTGGACATGATGGAAGGATCCATCGCGAGCGTGCCCACCCTTTTCTGGATTTGGAGAGGAAATGGGAGCGGAGTCAGGGAACTCGCGGAAGCGCCAGGACTGCCAATAAAATTCCTCCATGGTCAGGCATCTCATGCAGGCAAGTAGCTCGTACGGACGTACTTTGACATGCATACCTTGACCAAACCGTTCAAGTTTTCAGAGAGAATTCGTTATTCAGAACCGGACATGCAGAGTGAGACAGTTTGCTCTATGGAGATGATAGGAAAATACAGGATTACTTTGTACTCAAATAATGATTTACTATGGATACATTAGACCAAATTACAAATTTGCGGTTAATTTTAATTAGGGTTAATGTTTAATTCTTTGAATAATTGTTATTGAATTTTTAATTCATTTACTGATTACTTGTAGCAAATACAAGTGGTTCACTCTTAGAATGGTCGTTCTAAAACAGAGAAATATCAGTTAAAAAAATATGAAATCGTAATTTTTATCTTAACTTTAATGAACAAAAAATGGTTTATTTTGATATAAAATACATTTTACTTAGTTTATTCCAGAACATTATAAGTTAAACGGTGCATCTTTATAATCAAATAGTGAAATTAAACAATTAAGCAAAAAATAAAATTTTTTTTCGAGAACTTCTATTAATGATCAGCAGCATCATCATACAGGATCTTGCAAATCTTGCTCGCTCAGGAGATCACTGAAGGAATACATCGTGTGTTGGTTCCCAGTGTTTTCAAAATTACACCCACGGTGTCCAGCCTTCGTACAAAAGTGCCAAGTTATCCAAGTTCATAGCTTCATTTGTAACATAATCAACTTGTTCCTGCACAGAATATTTTCTTCCTGTGTCCGGATCTCGACCCTCAAGTTTCATGCGAACTCTATGCCACACACCTAAAGCATAGGAATTTCGAGTTTGGACAGCTTTTCCAGTTTTTGAATCTCTTCCACTTCTGACGACTTTTGGGACTTGTGTATCTTCCTTTGAAACCATACAATCTCTTTCAACACGAGACCCTCCAGAAAAAATATCTTCGGTTGCTGTTTCACATCTCATTTTTTCTCCGATATTATCAGCAAATTCTAGGATTTCTGCATAAATATAATTAGTCTTCTCTTTAATAAATTCTATGTGTTTCAGGCTTTGAATAATTTTGTCATAATCCAAATTTTCATTTATCAGCTCTCTGATTAACAACGAATAATATTCAGAAAATGTCCGGTAAGTAATGAGGTAGTTTTTAAAATCATCACGGATACCTGCTTCACTTTTGGCCAAAGACTTAATAAGTTTGTGTACATCAAACATTAATTCGCGATGAATTACAAAGTAATCTCTTATTGTCACAACATGTTTTTTAAGATTTTTCTTGACAATACAGAAATCATCTAATAGTTTTGTTCTCTGTTTTTGAAGCGATTTTATCTTATCAGATATCAGTATTTCTACTTTATGTAACCAATTGAGGTCAACCGTTTCTTCAGGAGCCAACAAGTGGATTAATGCTATCTCTCTAGCGTTAATGGACTGTTCACAATTTCCAGCTAAGGCACAACTTCTTTCCAAGTATTCTAACATCTGCAAAAACGATGCATCGTTCGCAATTGCTTCCGATGTTCTTGTTCTCAATGCTTCGTGGTGCAAAATAGCATTGCACGTACTGCTTACAACTGTTGCCAGGTTTTGTAACATACTAAATCGCGAAGTTCGTTTTTGCCACTCAGAATCAAAAGTTGTCATTACCTCACTTAATGCGGGATTTGCTCCTGATACCCACTTCAGACGCTGTTCAATACTGACTACTAAGACATTATGATGATTGTGGACTTCATTTAAGCGCGATTGCAGCGTTAGCAGCGAGGTAGATGTTTTCCTTATTTCGCGCATGAAAGTTGTTCTGTTGACAGGTAGTAAAGAAGACATTAGAACATTTTGTGGTAAAAGATCTTCGTATAACCAATGATGGGCAGTGAGTTGAAGCTGTAGCCTGTGTGATGTTGACCTCCAAAATTCATATTCCTGTTGGATTCGCAAAGCATATTCACGCTGCTGCCAAGCGTTTTCGAGGTTGCTCACGAGGAGTGACGCTTCTTTCAGGGCTGCGGTATTAACAATACCACTTTTTACACAATTGTCAATACCCATGTGAATTAATTCTTCCAGAGAAATGTCACTGTCAAAATCTTTGCCTCGTCGCTCCACTTCCATTTCGATGTTAAATCCTAAGCACTGGTTCAAGTGGAAACATAATAGCAGAGCAAGAATTTGAGACGACACGCCAAACATATGTCGTCGGACATAATCCGCAGTGAATTGTCTAATTGGTTTACTTATACGGTTATTATCATATACCGGAGATTCCATACGTGCCATTTGAGAACACAATGCAAAGAAATCTTGTATTATCTGCAGACGTTTCAAAAAGAAAATGGAGTCTAAAACACCTCTCACACGATCACCAACTACAAACGCTGACAATGCTTTAGCTTCTCTAATTTGGTCTATGGTCTTCCAGGACGTAGGAATATCAATTCTTTCAAAAGCAGCTGCAAATGTAGTCCCTTCAATCTGCAAAGCTTCGAAGAGGCAGTTAAATCCCATTAGCAGCATATTTCCTGGGCTAAGACCATCTTCTCCGGCAGTTTCCTTATGTCTTTCAGAACAGTAAAGAAATAAAGATTCGAATTTACTTTGGAGCACACTAACAAGTTTCTGTGCGTGACTGTGAGGGGAGTCCATATCCATTATAACGTAACGCAAATGCAATTCCAACTGAGCTATCAAATCTGTAATTGGACATCCAATACTTTGAATAATTTCGTCTAAAGTATTAATAACTGACAGCACACTAGGCTCTTCAATCTGAAGCGTCTTCAGAGCTTCGGGAAGAATGATTGTATGAAAATTAAAATTCAGTTCCTTCAAATCTCTGAACATTATATTGCACGAATGTAGACACTGCAAAATTAGTCTCAGTCTTGCAATATCATCAGCTTGTGTAGGGGAGAGATTGTCTTCATGAGAAAGGAGTTTACAGAATTCGTACAGTAAGGTGTACAGAAAGTGCATTTCATCAAGAAACCATTCGCCATCAAATGATGTGAGATCCATTAGATATTCTCCAGCACTCGTAGCCGTTGCTTCTTTCATAAGATACTGTCTATTGAGAGAACATAATGTTGTGAGTGCTACGCCCTCTATTGCTACTTTTGTGGTTTGTTCTCTGTGGCAAAAATTTTCTAATGCTCTCTGGGCTTCTTTATAATCATTTTCAAATGTAGCAATACTATCAGGTAAGCCTTTTGAAGTCATCTTCTCCGCAGCGTAAGAAAGGCGAACATTAGCATTTTGTAAAGCAGATTGTAAGTGATAACTGAAAGACACCGCAGTATGACAAAGGATATTGTTTCTGTTATTGTCAGGTGAAAAAAGTGACTGAAATTGATCTGCTACTTCACGACATCGTTCAACGGATATGTTCTCGAGTAAATATTTGGCCCAACGAATAAAGCATACTGTTCTATGCGATTCAAAATACGAAACGGGATATAATCCTGCAATAGACCCATACTGTCTCAACAAATCCAAACAAGTGCGCATCAACGTAGTTTGTTGTTGTGTTAATCTCTTAAATTCTATGTCTGATTGCTCGTACTGTATTACCATTTGATTTTGTCCAGCATTTTGCAAAATTTCGTTTACATGAACATTTACTACATTATTACTTTCATCTTCAGGGTAACTCAACTTTGCAGCCCATTCGTCTAATTCTGTACTCCTAACAGAAGCCAAAGCTGTACTTTGAATATTATAACGTTTTTCTACATCTTCCAATTTAGTTTTTAACATTTCTCTAGCGTTTCTTTTGGTATCTTGAGTTTCCTTGAATTTAACATATCGAGATCCTAATGTGTAGAGACGGTTTTCACTTCCAGGACCTTCAGTTATAGCTTCTTTCACTAACTCCATCTCCATTAAATATTCATGTGAAGTCTTTTCTAATACTGGAATCTCATTATGTATCTCTAACCACTTTCTCAAAAGATTATCTAATTGTGGCACAGAGATAATTAAATCATCTCTATTATTCATCCACGCGGATTTAATTTCTGTCATGCGAATGCAGAACATAGACTGTGCCACTTCCCTTTCCAATTCCTTTCTTCTTTGCTTTGATTCTAAAATTAGAGCCTGACCTCCGTACACAGCTCCCGTGAAAACTTCGTCATTTTCTGGTTTCCAGTCAATAAGAGGATCATAAACAAACGCTTCGAGGAGGGTAAGTAGTGTTTCACGACCTTTTCTCATAACTTTCAGAACATGTTCTGATGTTTGGCGAAAAATGCCTTCTACTCCTGTTACTCCCAGGCCCGTGCAAATATTAGGAGTCATGCGAAAAGGTACTTTCTCAGGAATTCTGAGTGTAGTCCCTTTTTCGAAGCAAACATTGTAATCAATATGCACCACCTCCCCTGTATTAAGATCTACCAAAATATTATCCAAGTGTCGATCACCAAGGCCAATTATGTAACCGATCATTGACATTACTGCAACTGAACACGAATATGTTCGTATGATTTGCCACCAATGACTAGCGTTTACACTATTGTACCACAGTTCTTTCGCCAGAAGGTCTTTTGGAGTTTCTTCCATCAGTTCGGTTAATACTTGCCTTAATACGGGTAACGGCCACTCCTTGCGGTTGTTCGTGTTGCCAATGCCTACTTCTTTCAAAAGAGGGCGAAGTTTGTTGAAGAATAGTTCTGATGGTCTCATGACTTGTGCTGTGTTGTTGGATGCGGTGTCACCACCAGATGCTTGGACTTTAAGTGAAACCTGCAAAACCTGTCGTTGCTGCCATCGTTTGTAAAGACTAAACAAGGGGGTAACGCCGTCAACCCAGCTGATCAACCCACTGCATGGACCTAGAGGAATGACTGAATAATGCCTGGCAATATAGCTGTCGGCGTCTGGACCATGTTGCATCATTGTGTTGGCTACTCTCAGAAACTGCATAACACGCTCATCAAGATGCAAATCTTCGAGACCCTTCAGAAGATATGAATACACATGTCCATCAGATCCACGGAACACGAGCTTCTTCGGCTTTGTTTTCGTGGGAAGAATTGTAACATTATTATCAACAGAAGCAATTCTAATTGAATGCTTTTCACTAGACGGAACACCAGGCATAGCAATGTTAGACTTCATAGCAGAAAGAACAGGACTCACATTAGAAATGTGAATTGTATAAGCTGTGCGTTTCTGAAAGCGTTGTTGAAGACGCGACTGAAATTGTTTCATAGGTTGCCATGATTCATTAGGGCAACGTGGATTAGCTGGAAATTTTAATTTGTTCAGTGCATCAGACACACACTCTCCAAACTTTTCCTGGAACCATTTTTCATGAGGAGTTTCTGGAGGAACAGAAGTGATACACTGCAGTTGCTCTAACACAAACACAATTGGTTTGAAAACGATGCGGTGTTTTTCTGTAATTAATTTCAATTTGAGGTCAGAATCGAGGGTCATGTTCTTGTCAACTCGAATTACTTCTTGTTCCAATTGCGTCAGACAACGTGTAATTTCAGACTGATGTTGCACCAATGTACCTAGCCACAACTCATCCCATAGTAAGGTGATACGTCGTAATTCCTGTACAAGTAATTTGACATGCAAAACAATCTCTGGAAACTTTTTCGTAAGAAAATCAACCATTGTCTGGAAGCAATTTTTGAGAACGGGAATCTTATTCTCCCTTTCAATGGACTCATCATCATTGTCGTCCTCCTCTTCTATTTCATCTTGATAATTGTAAATATCATTTTTTTCTGTTTCTAAAGAATGGACACTTAACAATCCATGAGTTGAAGTAGGCATATGGATATCTGAAAGCCTCGTTCCTGTAATGGCACCGACGACAGCTGGGAAAGTAATTTGATGAGAAGCATCAACTGCAACCCGGCAGAGAAGTTCTGACACTTGTTTTCGAACATATGCTTCAGGATGGCCAAGCCTAGAAAACAATTGTGGGATGATTCCTTTCCAAGGTCGAGTAGGTGTTGAACATAATCCATTTTCTAATACGTCTTGTAGTGCGAACGGATACTTCGCAATCAGACGCAATAAACGTAGACAAGCAGTGATAGTTGTACCATCAGGACCCTCATAGTTACATAAATTCAGGTACTTAAAATATGACTCGGCAGATATTTTATAATACGTAAAAGATCTCTTGTGAGCATTTCTCCAGATTTCAGCTACTTGAGAAAGTAATTCGTGCGATGATTCACGGAGTATATTAACTGTTCTAAGATGCGTTTCAATTTTGTTTGAAACACTGTCGCCCAACACAAGGTCTTCTCCGTCAGCTCCAGTTGTCTGATTAAGAACTGCAAATACTTCATCCAAATTTTCAGAAGACGATCCCAAAGGAAGAAGGTCTTGAATAGCAATTCTCTCCGCGTCGATGAGTTGTAGTCCTCCTTTGCTGGACCCATCTACAGATCGTCGACCACATCGGTAACACCACGCAGCAAATCCACTCCATGCCTTTGCCATAGCAGGACAATGACAAACACTTGTGTACAGAAGGCGCCCAATAACAGTGTCTGTGGAAGACACTACACAATTGTCACACTGAAACAGCGAATCGAACTGTTCCGGGGTAATGGAGTTCAATGCATTTACATAATTACAACTTGGAATTTTACATGAAAATATTTGGTTCAGGTGTTCTTTTAATTCGCCCTCTAAATGACATTCCATTTGAAGCCATTTTGCTAATGTGAGCAAAGTTCGAGATTTTCTTTCTGACATTTCAAGATCTATATCAAGAGGCATATTCAGTATTGCGATGCTTGTTAAAGCACATACTTCTACTGCAGAACTATGGCAATTTGAATAGTATAACAATTTTGCTCCTTCCATGCATGCCTTTGCAGTTCTAGCATTCCAAGTTTCAGTGATGCATGAATTGAAGCTAATAAAATCTGCTATAACTTGTTTCAGCGAAATTTCTTTATAAGGAATAGAATCGGTTATGAAACCACTACAAGACAGGCATTTTAATAGCAATTTTTTGGCCAAATAGTAATTGCTTTCTTTACGAGCAATCCTAGAGATGTCTAAATAAAGATCATTTACTTGATTATGAAATCTTTTCCCGTTCATCTGGTCAAAGTATTCAGTCCACCACACTACATTAGTGAGAACAGATGTATTTATATAATGAAGTTTTGATTTCCATTCACTTGCAGTAAACATATTTTTTTCTGGTTCTCCGCGTAACACTGATAGAAGCCCTGCTCCAGCAAAATTTGATATTACACAGGTATGCAAACTTTCAGATGGCATATTTCCTAAACCTTCTTGTATGTATCGTTTCGTTAGTGCCATACATTTTTCAATAAGCGTTTTCATGCAAGTCGTTTGTTCAGAGAAACCTGTTTCCTCAATTTTCTTTCGGTTGATATCGATAGCTAATTGTAAAGAAATGTTCACCAAAGTTGCGTCTATATAATTAATTAGAACGCTACTATTCCAAAGCTTATCTGTGTTAATTGAACTTTCCTCAAAATGCAGACTATTCCATTTTTCTAGTTCAACAAAAGCCGATAATCCGTATTCTTGAAAATGTTTCATGGCATGGACTTGTTCGATAGTAAATCCATTTCCAAACAATTGTTTCGATGTAGCATTTACTTGTTCAGTATCTACAAAATCACCCTGTTGATTCCATTTCAAAAATTCTTCGAAATTATTAAGAGACAAATAACAGTTCATTACTTGCTCTGAAATGAACTCTCTGAGGAGCTGATTGGATTCACGCCCGTCGTTGGGTTTCGCAAGACCACCTTCATCGCTTTTCGACGATGTTGATGAAACTTGCACACCTAATACTTGCGTGTAACTGTTCAGGGCGGATTCATATTTACTAGCTGCTTGTTCAGCAACAGCTTGAAGCCATTGAAACTTTCGACCATGTCCAAGGCACCAGGCAAACAAACCAACGATTGCTCTTGGTTCACGTAATCTACACAATGCCCAACTGAGATACAATACTGTGCGCTCAAATTCTGATCCCTGGATATTTTTAGAATCCACGAGATCTTGAATAAAACAATGAGCATATCTCACTACTGCAGCAGCATAGCCAGAATGAAGTGCAACCACAATAACAGCCATTCGAATTCGCACAAACCACTGAGCACATGTGTTCTTGTTTGTATGAAAAAAGAGCCTCACAGTTTTCGATGGCGGAGATAAAGTGGTAGAACCTTCGGCTGCATTGTAGATACATTTCTCCAAATTTTCTAAGAACTCTAGCAACAACCTCACTCGCCGGTGTTCCCAACCTCCCATATCAGATTGTACACTAAAACGACTATTGGCTGAATCTGGCGGTTTTTGTGGTTGTAGCGCAATTCCTTGTTGTTGCTCTTGCTCCATTGCTAAGTCGCTCGCTGAATTAATTCCAGTTGAACCATTTCTCCCAAAAGAAGTGTTAGAGAGGCTAACAAAATCACCTGATCCGAGGCTGCCATCATTTCGCAGTGGAGCACCGGAGCTGGAAAAAGTGTTGTCAGAAAGGTTATCTGGCTTACCCTCCATTTCGGGAAGACTGAACGAGGTATGCAACTCTTTAACCAAGTTTTTTATTGCACCTTCAATGCTTGTAAATGTATCTTGAGGTTTTCCTAAGGGAGTTCTTAACTTTGTTGTAGTGCAAAACTGGGCAGCTTGCCAAGATAAAGATGATAACAACACCATGTCATTTGCAGAAACAACGTGATTAAATAATGTCCATGTTTTATGATCTTCTTGTATATGAGAACATTTTCCAGAACTGTGGAAAGTATCTAGCATCCAATTCGTCTCTAAAGACAAAACCCCATTTAACACGTATCCAATTAGTTTCTTGAAATGAATTCCTGGCATTCTGCCGCAAGTATTCTTAGTTATATAATGCTTTTGAATGCCATGAATACACTGTTGAGAAAATGTAATATTTCTTAAGTTATCCCTTTTCGGTTCCATCAATTCTTCAATTCCACTAATAATTATGTACCAAGGAAGCAGTGTCATCACCTGACACGATTTTGAACTCACAGCATCATTATATGAATTATTGTGAAGGAAACAAAGACTCAAAATACTTAACAAGAATTGTGGGTTCCATGAAGTTTTATTACAGCTAAGCAATTCTTCTAAATTCTGCAATACTTTCAAAACTATCATTTCATCGTGAGTGTGTCCGGCAGACACAAGTGCATGTAGAAAATCCCCAAATTCCTGAGCATGTTGTAAGATACGTATATACGACTTTACTTGAGTGATAACATCTCTTGCCCAATCCAGAGTGAGAGATATGGTTTGTTGTGATGAAACATTCGTCAGAATTTTTGTTAAAGCTACAAGTATCAGAGAAAAATATCCACTGGTTGGAGACGTAGAACCAAAAGAACTTAAAACCAATTGAAGACCCAAGACATCACATACATTTGACACATCACTTACTGCACTCACTAAACCACTACTAGAAACAAAATTATTATTTACAGTGCAGTGTGTGTACAATAGATAAATAATACAATATTGCAATGTGGGACTGTAATTAACTAGGTTTTTGTTAAACGGTTCAAGTTTCACGGCTAAAAGTTCTAATATACTTGGCTGAAGTGCCCAAATTCCTATTATAGAACTACTGGCCTTTGCCAAATCAGCTAATGCTCTCAAATGAAACATTATAACCATTTCTACATCTTCATCTGCATATTCCACGTCAATAAATGGATTTGTTTGACATATTACAGAAAGGGATGGCATTACTTTTTTGTACGCAACTTCTAAATCTCCTAAAATGTACCTGTAAGCTTCCTGAAGAGGAGAAATATTTTTCAAGTTAAGAAGACTGTGGTAAATTCCCAAAACAGCATTTTGAATTTTCATATTCGTCGAAAAGCGTAATTTTAGAACAGGCGATTCCGGTGTCAAAATTTGATGAACAAGCTGCACTGGCAAATTAGCACTAACGTTAAGCACAATTCTGGATGTGAACGAGAGCATTGAGATCACTGCTTCTTCTCCAAAAACGTTCAAAACACCAAGTTCTAAGTTTATCAGGGAACACAATTTAAAACTGTTAGATGAGACCTTATTTTGCAAAAATGTCATCAATAAGCTTGAACATTCATTAGCAGCAATTATTAATTCTTCACCTACAAGAAATTCCAAAGAAATGATTACTGTGTCAAGCATTTTTGAAAAACAATTATTCAGGAAATTCCATTTCATAGCGGATGTAGAATGTAAATGTTGCCCCATACATTTTAATACCGTATTGAGAACCTTGATCAATGAAGTGATTTTTATAACGCACTGCTCTTTTGAAAGTGTACATTTTTTTCCATCACTCTGGTAATTTGAAACATGTACTCCATGTGCATAAGCTTCCATGTCTTCAAAGAACTGAGTAATGAGAGTTATAGAAAACTGTTCATCCTCTATCCAATAGTGACTTAATCTTTGAAGGCTTCGTGATGTATATTCTGTAATACAACTTCCTTGGCTGCTATCAATATGCCAGCCAACAAGTATATCCACCATATCGCGAAAATGTTTCGTGAAAAACGATGGATACATTTCTGCTACAAGTAAAATTGCATCAACAATAACAATGAAGAAATCTGAAGAATGCGTAAATTCTAGAGCATTCACGAGTCTTGATATCAAAGTGGAAGCAAATGCTTCCGTTTTATGTGTTTTTTTATCTAATTTCAAAGTTTCAAGCAGTGCTTTTAAAAGCAACAAAGATACATCTTCATTCCGTTCAGAACTGAATGTCGAAAAAATCCAGTCAATAAACCTTTTGATATTTTGGTCTAATATATACCCAAGACGGCCAAGACACTTCGCAGTTTCACATTTTGCATTTAATCCTGGCCCAGTGTGTAATAAATCTAACAGAGATTTCGTAATCATATCAAAGGCACGTCTTATGTATTTTCCGTTCTCTGGTAGCTTGAAAGATTGTTGGAGTTGTCTCGCCAAGGAACAGAATTTATCTTGATCATTTTCTCTTGAAAGCAATCTAAGGAGTTTTGAAATTCTTGAGTCTTCTGCAGACATGGAATTCTGAATCGTCGAATTATCATCATGCTCGTTCGCCCCTCTTCTGCCAAACGAGACATAAACATTGCTGCTTTGACGTGTGGTGTCACCCTTGCCCATGAACCCGTTAAGTAGGAAGACATGTCAAAAATCAAGAGAAGTGAGAACTTCTGAGGCTTAGAGCACACTTCATATGCGCAACACTATCCTTCTTGAAAAAAATTTAACCAAATAAACGAAATAGTATAATTTCTTTTAAAAATATCAAGAATAGTATGAATTTACGTACCTAACCTTGCTGGCGTGCAATCGGTTTTCAGCCATCAACTTTCAAAGAATACTCTCCACAGAGTGTCCAAACTGAGTTCATGATATGCGGTTCGAGCAAGGTTGCCATATCTCTAGGCTTGGCTCGAATTCAGAGGTATTCCTCAATTATTGCAAATTGATTTTAATTCATGAATACAGAATCGTGTTTGATAAGATTTATTTTGAATTGATATTTTCAAATTAATCATAATTATTACATATATAAGGTCTCATAAGTGAAATTGTGTCCAAATTAATTTATTTTTATTAGAATGTTTAGTTATAATATAATTAAAAATATTTGATAATTGAGAGTATTAGGAATAAAATTAATTAATCCTTAGCTATAAAAGTGATTTTAATTTGTTTACCTAGTGTGCGTAAGAATTCAAAACATGCCACTATTAATGTGTACATTTTGTGTGAATTTTATGTCTATTGTTGAATAATGAAAACATGAGAAGGTGAATGCGTAATTTCTCCATTACAAAATTCGATAATGAATTTGCCTACTGTTGTGTAATTAAAATACATACTAAATAGTAATTACACTGCATTCCTAAGATACATCAACATTATTAATAAATCTGGAATAATTTTCCATTTTTCGAATCATCAAGATCATCCTTAACTGTATGCCTAAACTCTTTACAAATCATGTCTTAGTTGAATTTAACGTACTACATCATTACGTTGACACTAAGGGTTTCGATTTCGTCTCCTGCCGATATATTTTTTTAATACTGAACAGTCACTAACAACATTGGTTCCAGATTTAAAGTAAACATTGAACTTTCCTCCAGTAAGTGAAAGTATCTGTTTTAAGTTATTCGTCTTCGTAAATTCTCGATTCACACTTTCCCATTTAGCAGTAATTGTTTCTTTGTCTGAAAATTAGGTGCTAAGGAGAAAATGCCTCACTTTGTTTCTGACATAAATCTTTGTGGATATTTTATTCCGATCACCTCTGAATAAAATCAATTTGGTGTGAGTAGAATAGAGTATGTGCATAGATTTGTTAGTTCTACCTTCTTTGACAAGTTTCATGAGAATATTTTTAGCAGAAAAAGGTTTTGTTCTAGTCTTGCCCTGCACTTATTTGAAAGCGAAAATGTTTTATAAAGAAACCTCAATTGCAGTTATATTCTTTCTTTCTTTCTGTATTCATTGTGAAAAAAATCAACCAGACTTCACTTCATGCAATGAGAGATCGATGTGCCCACAGTTTTTGGAGATTTTTGAAACGACAGCCCACATGTTTCTTGTGGGCAACAGGACACAATTTAAATGTCGGAATCTCCAAAAGTTTTTTTTTTCCAAACAAATCACAAACATCTCACTGTACTCATTATGCATCGGGAATGCATCGGGTAATTCCGGAAATATAGGCAACAACAATTGCCAACAGAAAACGAAACAAAATACCGTATTTCCTCAAGCGGCTTCGCGTTTTTCCTAAGTTGCATTTTAGCCTCATTTTAGGCTACAAGCATGGAAGAATATTATTTTTCTCAAGAATGTTACCATCGCCTTACGTAGTGTAAAAAATATCCGCAAGGTGGCACTTCTCTACAGATTTATCAACGCTGCTGCCATCTATCAACGTAGATACGAACTTAAGTTAGTAAACACTTCAAATAATAATATAGGCATTTAGAGCAAAAGATACGATATGGTACAGGAATAGGATATTATTAGCTTATTCAGACGCTTCCATCAGCAGATCATTTTGTCAATTTTTGCAATGCTAAGTAAGCTCATATTGAAATTAATTTTTTAACAATTAATTTCCGTGATTCGTCCAATCTCAGAGACAAGTATCGGTAAAACATTTCCAAATAATCCCTGTTGAATTACATTAGTATTATTCCATCCCCAATTTCGTGAATTGTGATTATTATGAGTCTTCTAAACATTCACGTTGAGGCATAGTGGCAACGTTATAAACGCAATATATGTGCCTTAAAATCCCCCCAAATATGTTTTTTCTAAAAGTCTAGAATATTCCAGTAATATCCGATTAGAAATAGAACGAATCGATTCTTCTCGTTAAGAACAATCGAATGTATGTGGGTAAGACTAAAACGCGTTTTAGGTCTTTAATGTACCCAAAATGTTTCACTAATACTATTTTTTTAAATTTATTTATAGTGGCAAGTACATCTGAGGTCATTAGCGTCTCAGAACTGGCACACTGGTTTATTTATTATATTACTTTATATTACATTATATTATATTATATTAAAATTTATTTACCAAAAAGGTGTAAAAATATTTAAATAAGGTTTTTCTTCAATATTGACCTGTAGAACCAAAGAAAAGTATTTGCATTGCCTACATAGGTCCAGTATTTAAATGTATAGGCTAATGTTTCACTAAACACAATATTTCAGTAGCCTACAAAACTTTAGACTCCTTCCAATCTTTATTCCATAGTTCCAAATCACCTATCCCCCCCCCATTGACAGAAGTGGCATTTATCACCTAACTTGTAATAACTGTAATTCAGCATATGTAGGCCAAACAGGCAGAAAATGATCAGTTAGAATTAATGGGCATATTAGATGTTGAAAAAAAAATTTGGACACTTCCACTTTTCCCAATCATTTGAGTCAATGTAGCCATTCCTTTGACCCTAATTATAATTTTAAAATTCTTTACTTAGTCAACAAAGGCACAAAAATGAACATTTTGGAGAACGTGGAAATTCTAAAACTTTTCAAAAATACCAATTTTTCTATCTTGAATGAACATTCCTTAATTAAAAGCTGTAAAATTAAAAAAAAAATATTAACTAGCCCCTAATCATTCTTTTGACCTGATTTTTCCCCTTTTTGAAATCTTTTTATCTAGTCAACATGTTTAAAATATTTTATTTTTATAATTTAAAATTCTAGAATCTTGCATATTCATAATTATGTGTCCTGTTTTACATTCCTGTATGAAAAGCAATTTTAAATCTGTTTATGACTACCTTTTCTACTCTTCTGTTCCCCCACCCCCTCTCCCCCAGTCCCACTGGCTTCCTCTTCTTCCATTCCAAAAGATGGCTGCCACCTGGATGTACCCAGCATGTTTTGCAGTTTTCGAATTTCTGTCCATTTTGTGAACATTGTGATCCACGTTGCTTGGGCAATAAGTATTTTCAATTTTATTTATTTGATATTATTTGTTTACGTGTGGCAAATTTACGGCAGAAAAACTCTTCTTAGTGTGCCCTGGTAAAGAACATTTTGTTGTTTGTTTGGTAAGGAAAATTTTGTTGGTAAATTGGTAAAGAATTTGAAATGATAAATCGTTTGAGGCCGTGTCAATCTGTAAAAATTAATAGAGAGCCCGAGGTAGTTGGATATTCTGAAAATCCCTTCCCATTGTTTAATATAATATTAATTATCTTTATTTTTGCAGATGGTAGAGCATTAGGTGCGGAAATTTATACTCATATTAGTTGCAATGTAAATGCATATTAGGTAAGAGGTACAAATATTACATAACTTCTTGCAACAATATACTCGAAGAGTAAAGTAATATCCAGGTGTTTATTTTGGAATATTTATTTATTAATCTGTGCCTTTCAGTCAGGGTCTAGAGATCATTCTAATTTTTAAGATTTATCTTGATGGATACACGGTGTTGCCGACTCTTTTTTGTTTCTTTGAAGCTTTGTTTTTTTGGTGCAAGAACTTCAAGGTCATTAGTGACCATATAAACAACTCTTTACAATGTATTAAGTAAGTTTAGAAATTTCAAAACATATATTTGAGATGATCCAGTGAGTAATTGAGGAAACAATTTGGAAGTGAATGTGAATTTTGTGAGTCTGAATACACTAGTTGCGGACTTTTACTTTACTTAATTAATTTAATTATAATTTATTGTTAAAAAATTATGTACAAACTTTTATTTAATGTACGATAATATGAGATTCACTTTTCAGTTATTTGACCACACTGATTATGAAGTTTCAATCTAACAATGGGAACGTCTCGATACGGCATGAAGTTCACAGAATAATCTCTCATTGTCAGGCGGTGTTTCAACTCTTAAAAGAGTGTTTCTTCTGAAAGAAGAATCGACCACCGGGACAGAGTGGATTTAAATTTTGTATTTCTGGTATTAACCCGGCAGTAGGAAAGTTGGGTCCATCAGACCCAGCGACATCTTTAAAGCCGTCTGTCAAGTGATGGAAATTATTTCTTAACTTATCTACCAGTATACCTTCAAATTGAAACTTCCTGAACAGATGACGACCATAATTTTGAGTTGAGAAAAACGTGGTGTGCTATTACCGCTCAAAGTTGATGGGTCCAACTGACTCAACGTTCCTGTTTACGTGATTTCTTTTTCATGGCCTTCTCATCGAAGGGTTATTTTAATGCATTACATCCGCAAGATAAAGAAAGATTAACTAAGCATTTAAAAAAAATGATTGTTTATCAAGTGATGAAGAAGGTGCTGATCCATTATTTGAATTTAAAAAATTGTACCGTCCAGATTCTGAACAAGAAATTGAAGAAGTAGAACCTGAGAATCAGGAAATTAAACTTCAACCTTTTCTATTATTATTATTACTATTATTATTATTATTATTATTATTATTATTATTATTATTATTAATATTAATATTATTACACCTTAACCTTTATATTTGCAGTCTAATATTTTAATCGATAATCTTAGCGACAATATCGATGCGCATCAAGCACTGGTCGCTTTACAGCGTTTCCCTCGAACTCAGTCTTTCCCACAGGCATTCACTAGATAAGCACGGTTGGAAAAAAAATGTATATGGTCGGACCGACCAAAGCCAG